GTTGAAATAGTTTCTAAATGAGGGATCAGTGTAAGTTGTCATAGTTTCTAAATGAGGGATCGGTATAAGGTGAAATAGCTTCTAAATGAGGGATAAGTGTAAGTTGTCATAGTTTCTAAATGAGGGATCAGTGTAAGTTGAAATAGTTTCTAAATGATGGATCAGTGTAAGTTGTCATAGTTTCTAAATGAGGGATCAGTGTACGTTGAAATAGTTTCTAAATGAGGGATCAGTGTAAGTTGTCATAGTTTCTAAATGAGGGATCAGTGTACGTTGAAATAGTTTCTAAATGAGGGATAAGTGTAAGTTGTCATAGTTTCTAAATGAGGGATCAGTGTACGTTGAAATAGTTTCTAAAAGAGGGATCAGTGTGAGGTGAAATAGTTTCTAAATGAGGGATAAGTGTAAGTTGTCATAGTTTCTAAATGAGGGATCAGTGTACGTTGAAATAGTTTCTAAATGAGGGATCAGTGTAAGTTGTCATAGTTTCTAAATGAGGGATCAGTGTACGTTGAAATAGTTTCTAAATGAGGGATCAGTGTCAGTTGAAATAGTTTCTAAATGAGGGATCAGTGTAAGTTGTCATAGTTTCTAAATGAGGGATCAGTGTACGTTGAAATAGTTTCTAAATGAGGGATCAGTGTAAGTTGTCATAGTTTCTAAATGAGGGATCAGTGTACGTTGAAATAGTTTCTAAATGAGGGATCAGTGTAAGGTGAAATAGTTTCTAAATGAGGGATCAGTGTAAGTATTCATAGTTTCTAAATGAGGGATCAGTGTAAGTTGAAAGAGTTTCTAAATGAGGGATCAGTGTAAGGTGAAATAGTTTCTAAATGAGGGGTCAGTGTAAGTATTCATAGTTTCTATATGAGGGATCAGTGTAAGTTGAAAGGGATCAGTGTAAGTTGTCATAGTTTCTAAATTAGGGATCAGTGTATGTTGAAATAGTTTCTGAATGAGAGATCAGTGTAAGTTGAAATAGTTTCTGAATTAAGGATCAGTTTAAGTTTTCATAGTTTCTAAATGAGGGATCAGGGTACGTTGAAATAGTTTCTAAATGAGGAATCAGTGTAAGGTGAAATAGTTTGTAAATGAGGGATCAGTGTAAGTTGTCAAAGTCTCTTAATGAGGGATCAGTATACGTTGAAATAGTTTCTAAATGAGTGATCAGTGTAAGTTGTCATAGTTTCTAAATGAGGAATCAGGGTAAGTTGAAATAGTTTCAAAATGAGGGATCAGTGTAAGGTGTCATAGTTTCTCAATGAGGTATCGGTGTAAGTTGTCATAGTTTCTAAATGGGGGATCAGTGTATGTTGAAATAGTTTCTGAATGAGAGATCAGTGTAAGTTGAAATAGTTTCTGAATTAAGGATCAGTTTAAGTTTTCATAGTTTCTAAATGAGGGATCAGTGTCCGTTGAAATAGTTTCTAAATGAGGAATAAGTGTGAGGTGAAATAGTTTCTAAACGAGGGATAAGTGTAAGTTGTCATAGTTTCTAAATTAGGGATCAGTGTATGTTGAAATAGTTTCTAAATGAGGAATCAGTGTAAGGTGAAATAGTTTCTAAATGAGGGATCAGGGTACGTTGAAATAGTTTCTAAATGAGTGATCAGTGTAAGTTGTCATAGTTTCTAAATTAGGGATCAGTATACGTTGAAATAGTTTCTAAATGAGGAATCAGTGTGAGGTGAAATAGTTTCTAAATGAGGGGTCAGTGTAAGTATTCATAGTTTCTATATGAGGGATCAGTGTAAGTTGAAATAGTTTCTAAAGAGGGATCAGTGTAAGGTGAAATAGTTTTTAAATGAGGGATCAGTGTAAGTTGTCATAGTTTCTAAATTAGGGATCAGTGTATGTTGAAATAGTTTCTGAATGAGAGATCAGTGTAAGTTGAAATAGTTTCTAGAGAGGGATCAGTGTAAGGTGAAATAGTTTCTAAATGAGGGATAAGTGTAAGTTGTCATAGTTTCTAAATTAGGGATCAGTGTATGTTGAAATAGTTTCTAAATGAGAGATCAGTGTAAGTTGAAATAGTTTCTGAATTAAGGATCAGTTTAAGTTTTCATAGTTTCTAAATGAGGGATCAGTGTACGTTGAAATAGTTTCTAAATGAGGAATCAGTGTAAGGTGAAATAGTTTGTAAATGAGGGATCAGTGTAAGTTGTCATAGTTTCTAAATGAGGGATCAGTGTAAGGTGAAATAGTTTTTAAATGAGGGATCAGTGTAAGTTGTCATAGTTTCTAAATGAATATAATTATGTATATATAATGTTAACAAGTTCTCCATACATGTAACGTATTTGGAACCTATCGATGTAGTGAGCATGTTTGAACCTCTTCTTAGGTGTTCTTGTGTGTCAAAGACCGGCAGAGATATCCTGAATTACCGCGCTGACATATGGCAATCGGAGGACATGAACTGCCGTAAGTCATTTTACCCTACCACGGGTATATATATATGAACAATTCAGTAATGTGTGTGTGAGGTATACTTAAACAGACCACATATACGTACTAAACTATAGTCACGTGACTACGATACACAGAGTTTTACCATACTACGGAAAACATTATTACACGCTATCGGGCAGTGTTGGTGCTATCAGAGCTATGGACATTTTGATAACGCGATAGTATCATATAAAAAATTCACCTTTTCAATCCACAGCAGTAAAGTACATTTAGTGTTATATGACGTATCACTTGTTTTCCCAGATATGTAAATTTTCTATTGTTTTTTGTATTTCTTATTTTTGAGGGTTTCAATTCACTCCTTAAACTATCCAATTTTGACCTCCCTTGTCTCGGAATATAACATTTGTAAGTTATTTAACTCGTCATTGATTTACGTCTATTTAGTTAACGTTTATAAAGCTAGTGAAGGATACGTTAACACATCAAATTAGTGCTTTCGTTATGGCTCAGCATTTTCTCTGATCCGAAGCTTTTTTGTTATGAACAAGTGATAACAACATCAATGTACAGACTATTTCATTTTGCATATATTTAAATTTCAAATAATATTAATATTTTATAACAACCAGTGTTCGAAATATTATTTAAATATTTTTAATTGGCCACAGAATGTGCACGTGACCAGCAAGAGTACATGGACACAGGTCTGATTGGTCGCTTCTTCTACTGTACACCTAACGGTAACTACCAGAACCACCAGTGTCTGGGATCCGTCTGTCACTGTATCGACAACAGGGGACAAATGGTAGGCACACAGACGGTCAGCATCGGGGATCTGGCCAAATTGTCGTGCTGAGCTGTATCGTTGCCCCCATAGGCCCTCAGTAAAGAAGGAAGTAATAGTATCGCTGTACAATGAATTGTAATAAATATGTGACATCTATCTATTTATTTTGTTTTATTAACTTATTCCATTTTTAAGTTTCCTAATGTTTGTAATACATCTTCGATCATTACAAGTGAGAGGTCTTCTTAACACTTTTCCGAAACACTTATATCAAGTACTACATCTTGAGTTTAAAGATTCACGAAATCAAATTTTGACTCTGCTTTGTATTAAAATTGTTTTGACATATTGTTATTCATGTTGATCTATAACTGTTCAGTAACCTTGAGAAAACTGCACTTTCTGCTCAAACGATGGGGATATTAGTACTACGTTTTATGAGACAACTTCACAATAGTCATGTGAATGTATGACATTTCAATGCTTTTACAGCAAGAAATCTTTCTTAAGCTATAAGCATACGTAATAATTTCATGAAGAGGAAATTACCTTACGAAGTTGTACCAGTGTATGTGACATATGGTAGATATTGTTGTAGTAAACGTTAATCTTAATCATAATGTGTTCACACCACATTGTCTTCAGAGACTCTTGCCTACGATGTAAAATAATTAACGGAACTTCGCATTGAAACCCAACAAAAAAAAAAATCTTCACATTCTCTTCTTAAATTATAAAAAGTTTCTTGTTACACAACCAATAAGTGTTTCTATGTGACGTACGAATTGTCCACAAATCGATGTCGATTCGGCTACACCGTTATGTGCTTACGCTTCACTGGTCATTTGTCTGATGAATGTGACAGAGTACATACCGTACTAGTCATCGAAACGTGACATAGAAACACTTAATGGTTGTGTTACAAGAAACGTTTCATAAACCGATAAAGAAGTGTTCTTTGCTGCCATAGTGAATCAAGTATACTAACCTAGCTGTTCAGAAAACATGTACCAGATAAGACTGTCAAACGTTGTTGAAATTCCAATATCTCTAGATATGTAAAGTACGCTGAAAAATTAAACCTTTTAAAAGGTGGAGTACTACATGTCCATCCGAATGGGATTCTGGATGTTTGGCTGGAAGTGAAGGCCGATGAAGTGACAGACATAAGGTCGTTGTGGACATTTCATGAAAAATATCGTGTGGTGCTAAATTACTGTTCAGTAATTGTAAACCGCTTACACCAAAGACACAACGGTCTGGGATGTCCAGTATATAAACTGAATCTAGAGATCTTGACATCTAAGTCGATAAACGTCATAACAAGAAAAATACTATACTGACCAGGTATGACCACATGCAATAAGAACATATGGGGACTTGTAGATATCAAAAGGTGCTATTGAAGGAGACTGACCAACACGAGAGACCAAGGGAAGCCATACCCACCAATTCGTTTGACGGACCTTTAAGTGTTCTCAATCTCTCAATAAAAATCTCAAGATGTTAGCGGCAAATACCATATGACATTACGAGGTTTAAGTCAATGTACAAGATTTCTGTTCATGATTTCCAACATGGGACTTGGTAATAGTACCTGTAGGGGAAATGACGAGCAAAGAAAGTAAAATAGCGTATTTTGTAGGTATGTTATTGGTTACCATTGGGAACAAATTACTGTATCCTTTATCTGTAGAAAAATGAATATGTTCACAAAACAAAAACAAAAAACAACGTCTTAACAATATGAAAATATACTTTATTTATCGATGTGATATAGCGTTATGGTAGATATTGATAATTTATATATATCCCACTCGAGATCACATTGCAGACTAACCTAGGAGCAAAATGATATGAAAAATCACATTTATAGATTGGCATCTTGCATGTATCTTTATTCATTTAGCTTTCACTCTCAAAAAGTCATCTCACCTGTAATGTATCAACAGCTTAAAAAACTACCTCTGACTCTCAGATAGTCACTGTTTCGTCGGTACATTTTATAACATTGCAGAGGCGAAACTATTTGTTATTTAATATGCTTATAATAAAATGTACAAAACGCGCCAACATGCATACACGAACCTAATGTTTTAACGGTAAATGTTTCACTACCTTCCTTATTTTCTCGAACGATTTGTTCTATGCATATATAATAACGAAATCTCATAATATCTTAACACCGACCTCAAACCCGCGTGTATGGCTGCTATAGCTATTGATTATAATGTCGAAAATTCATGATTTCGAAAACTTTTAATAATGTTTTTTGATTTATTTATTTAAAAAGCAATTCGCAATAGGATAGCAGTCATATACCTAGTTACACGTGTCATATTCCTAGTTACACGTGTCATATTCCTAGTTACACGTGTCATATTCCTAGTTACACGTGTCATATTCCTAGTTACACAAGTCATATACTATTTTCACAAGTTATCCCTAGTAACATGCGTCATGTACCCAGTTTCACAAATCATACACCTGGCTACCCTGGTAACATTTCTTCTTAAATAGCCATAACAAAGATTAACGCATTACCAGTTATGTAAGTAATTAAATGAAAATAAAACATTTTCAAATTAAGAAAAAATGTGGTATCTACAAATGTCTGAATCTATATACCACTTCATTGGATTCAGAGTTTAAAATAGTGATGAAGTGTGGCAATTGTTATACGTGATCCAATGGATAAACTACTTTAAAGACTTTGCGATGATGAGAGTTCACGACCTGTTAAACTTAATGGTGAAATGCAAATAATATATGTGATTCCGATTGGGGATAATAATTCTAAATAATGGACGCAATTATCTCAATCAATGAATTGAACAATAACAAAATCATTTGGCACAATTAATGCATTACCATACATATATATATAAAGATTGTATTTAATTGTTATTATAATGTATTAAAGTATTATAATATAAACTGTACAGCTTTGTATTCATATATATATATATATATATATAATATTATCTTATGTACAAACTAGTTATATATTATTATAAACTGTTGTATTTCACACTCAAAAATAATTAACGATATATAAAGAACGAAAAACGTTCACTCTCTCCACAGTGTTTGCCTATCTATGAAAGCGCTAGGCGTATCACCAACTCAATGTTTTATAACAGTAAAGTTGAACGTCTTTCCGACAGCATTAATGATTAATGATTTTTTTTGTTACCTCAACGTATATGATATGGTAATGAAAGGTAACCCATTGGTATCTTTTATGACATCACAACAGGTAAATGAACACTTAAGTAAATGTCAGCAGTTAAATAACAACTCTTTGTAAAAATTAGATATTAATTTCTGGAATGTCAGTTCAACAATGCCAAGCTTAATTTATGAACTATTGTAGCCCATATATTAACAGATCAATATAACATATATAAATATTTTATCTTATTGTAATGGTAAATGTGTAAGATTAACTGACGTCATGTTGTAAGTCACCTTATTTTAGCGAAAGGTTCACTTTTCTCCCTATTACGCGAGTTGACTATATCGTTTATTTATCTATCTATCGCGAATTCAAATATTAGGCAAAACAATCTAGATGCATAGATCGCGAAATTCAGAACACGTATAAAAAACTACAGTGACATATATGAATTTGTTACATTAACTGATAATGTAACAAACATAAGTTTCAATAATATTGTATTTGTATACGTATCTTGCTGTTCTGAATATATCACTGTAATATCTCCAGATAGCTCGTGGATGTCTCACAATTATCTACAGAGATTCTATAGAATATCTCTAGAGGTTTCCGTATATGTCCGATCATCATCTCAAGAGATTTCCGTGTATGTTCAATCATCATGAAGAGATTTCTTTGTATGTTTCATCATTATCTCAAGAGTTATTCATGTATGTCCCATCACTATCTCAAGAGATTTCAGTATATGTCCAGGAATTATTTCTATAGATTCCAGTATAAGTCCCAGTGTTTTCTCTAGAAAGTTCCATGAATATCCCAACTTAATTCTAATATATCTTGAGAAGTGGGACGTGTCGCAGGTCGATTGAGTCGCCTCTCTTCTTATTCTCGTCCTCAATAGCTGTCGTCGAGCTGGAATACAAACCAATACAGCCATGCTCATTAAAATGTTTATCAAACATGAATAAACAATATGCCTCGTCTTCAGTGTCAATTGTTATCATGGTTTTTTTGCATTGTTTCGTCAAACATACTATTAATTCTCTGTAAAGCTGAATTGTATTTTCTTTTCGTATTAATGTCATTTTCTGTATTTTTGTTTAGTGATGCTATTTTGATCACATTTTTATAATATATTGTGTAGGTTATCCTACTACATAGTGTACCTCTTTAATCATAAAGCTGACGCTAATCAACGTGAATTCAATGTAATATGCATAGACATTAGAAATCGACATAAACCCGTTACAAATTGTACACCTGTCAACTCTCAGTACTTACATGAGGGTAAATTGTACACCTGTCAACCCTCAGTACTTACATGAGGGTAAATTCTCTCGTACTAACATGAGGGTAAATTCTCTCGTACTTACATAAAGGTAAATTATCTCGTACTTACATGAGGGTAACAACCCTCAGTACTTACATGATTGTAAATTATCTCGTGCTTACCTGAGGGTACATTCTCTCGTGCTTACATGAGGCTAAATTCTCTCGTACTTACATGAGGGTAAATTATCTCGTACTTATATGAGGGTAATTTTTCTCGTACTTACACGAGGGTAACAACCCTCAGTACTTACATGAGGGTAAATTCTCTCGTGCTTATATGAGGGTAAATTCTCTCGTACTAACATGAGGGTAAATTCTCTCGTACTTACATGAGGGTAAATCTCGTACTTACATGAGGGTAAATTCTCTCGTACTAACATGAGGGTTAATTCTCTCGTACTTACATGAGGGTAAATCTCGTACTTACATGAGGGTAAATTCTTTCGTACTTACATGAGGGTACATTCTCTCGTACTTACATGAGGGTAAATCTCGTACTTACATGAGGGTAAATTCTCTCGTACTTACATGAGGGTAACAACCCTCGGTACTTATATGAGGGTAACAACCCTCGGTACTTACATGAGGGTAAATTCTCTCGGTCTTGTAGATCGGTCTCCCGATGTTGAACTGAAACAAAAAAGTTTTGTAAAATTCAACAAAGGCCAAATTTCTGCTCATCAATCAATCATCCATAGCCAAACAATTTGTCGTACTTTAGATACAGGTAACATAATGGTACCGAAATGCGTTGCTACTATTTGAAACAGATGAATCATTTATTGACGCCTTAAGTTCCTTTTTACAATTATTGCATATTTGTTTTCTAATTTTGATAGTTATGACTACATCACTGACCTTAATTTTGCCTGCATATGTCATTAAGGTAAATAAATCTGATGCATCTGAGTGATGAATTACTTATATGAAGGCACACAGACATCAAGGAAGGTTGTATCAGCGTACACAATCTTTTTACAATAGGACGTTACAAAGAATATTTGATTGATTTTTTTCATGATTTCGTTACTTCTAAAATACTTTAACCCTATAATGAAATATAGTGTCTATTATTTCTGCATGAATAAATGAACAGAAAGTAGTCTCAACATGATTGTTTACAGCGTATCCGTCAACGATATGTAAAATCCTTCTTCGTCACAATATGCAGATGATATAAATATCATGTATTTTTCACCATCGAGGAGTTTGTTATTCTGCATTTGTTGCGAACAAAAACCCGTCTATATCTGTTAAAACAGGGTTGCAAAATGAAATCTGTAAAAACAAACACATGCAAACTTTATAAAGCGTATTGAATACGATAGGAGATTCTATGGTTTCTATGCCTACCTCCTCTTCCTGTAGTAGAATATTGTTACACCACTCAGGGGTCGTATCTAAACCTGAAACACACGACATTGCGTCATTTAGAAACAGAATAAAGGACATCAAAATCACCTCATCAAGCAGGTCGTGTTTCATACAAAGTGTGTTCCTAATAGAACAAAAATGTATATTTGTTATTCTCATAACAAACCTATTGCTGCGTGTAATTAATATCATCAGGGAAAAACGTGCTGTTTGTTTGTAATGATGTGGAGCGAGGAATTTATGTCTTTACATTGTGAGCTAGTTATATAGTAGTATATTTGTATATCAAGTATTTATCAGCTATGCTAGATGTGTATTTTGAAATTAACAGATTAACTCCGACGTAACGCTCGGGTAAAATTATATACGTTATTAAACTACATTATATATCTTATTATCGTCTCGGGTATTTCTTTGAGATTGATGGCTGGTTTCTGATAATTTCACCATATAACACGTGAAGTATGTATTCATACGAATGTTATGAACACACTTATTTTACACACCAGTTTTAGTCACGTATAAGGCACGTGGTTATTCTGCAACCGTATGGCATGAAAGACAAGTACAGGCGTTGACATTTGACAAAACATTCCAATAATTGCCCATAACCCTTTATTGTGTGTTATGTCAACTTATAACATGCAAATATACTGAAACTCCATTTGCTTACAAAACATGTAACATACAATAAATTGAAATTCCCGTTGTTAACCGTAATATATAAATATACCGGAACTCCCATTGTTATGCTAAACATGCATATTAAACGTAAACAAAAGGAATATAATACTGACAAGATTATTACAAAATTAACACGAAAACGAAACAATTGTTAATAAAGAACAATGACTTCTCGTATGTTATAATTGATATGAAATAAACTTACCCTTCGGTAAACAAAGGAAACTAAATAAATAAACATACATCGTTATATATAAAAGCAGAAATGAATGCGTACTAGCAAATATCAGTTCATCCGTTTGATTTACTAGTATAACTATAAGTCCCTTTAAATCATTTGTTTATTTTAATCATGAATATATTATATAATACTTACTCTGATCGTCGAAAGAATTCGCTGGTCTGCTGGAGTTGGTCTCGTTGTCGTAAGGGTAGGTGATAGGGAACTGTAGAGGGCGTTCCCTGTGAACTGTTGGTGCTGTGTCATTCCATGTACTAGGCGAGCCATAAAATTGGCGCCAATTAGTGTTAAACCTAGGTAGGAATATTGACGAAGGAACGGCGTACGATCCTCGTATCCCGTAACTGGAAAACAAGTGTCCACAACATACAATAGAATAGAATGTTGTAAAAAATAACATGTTTAGTTTCATTCTGAATGTCCAACTCCTGGCGTTCTTTTTGGTTTCCGCACAAGTTTTGCAGTCATAATCCAACAATCGCCTTTGTCAGGTTAAAATACTTGTTACCAAACACTAAGCGATAGTAATCGTACAATAATAAATTACCTATCCTGATCAGACTCCTCGTCTAGACCTCGTTTCTTGCGTCTGCGTACTACTGCCAGTATACAGCATAATGTAGCAATCGCGATTGCCACGGCTGCAGCCGCTGGTAGGAGGATCTCGACGACCCAGTCACCGTCCCTGGGGCTCGCTACATTGGGTAGCTGGCACTGGTCGCCATGGTAACCGGATGTACACCTGATATGTATAAAATTACAGTTTAAAAGAAATATTATATCCGTCTGTGTGACGTACCGTTATAAAAATCTGGTCACTAATTGTTTATTCTGTATGTTTTTTCTCTGTGATATTTCTAAGGAAGAAGTGGGAGAAAGAAGGCGTACACTCGGGTATTTAATTCTAATATTCTAAATAGCTACGTAGGATAGACTCTTAAGGTCATCAGTAACCCTTCCCTACAATACGTTTGCACTTCAGTGATCAACACTTTATAATGATACTGAAGCAAACGTGTACAAATGTGACTATCTTACTTACACACAAATGGAGTCGTTCGTGTTCTGGAGCTGACAGGTGCCATTGTTCTGACACTTGTGTGTTTCGTTATAATATCCACACAGATCCACTGAAAGAGAAATTAACATGCATATTGAGCGAATAATTTTAGTTTTAAGCAATTTTCAGTTGACATTCATAGTAACGTACAACTGTAGTCTTCATGTTGAATTTGTAAATCAACATCATATTGCCTATTTCTCTTGTATCAGTTTTCGATTATTGAAAGTCAACTTTATTCATGAAAAGTAAGCACCATTTTTGTGTTTCACGTGTGTATATTAAAAAATATCGATCAAAAACTAAAAATGTTTTCTTCGCCGTAAGAACGGGTACATTTTGTCTGACACATTTACCGCTATTTCGGAATTACATGCATTGGTTGAAAAGCCTGCAAGGAAGTTTGACATGCAAACTTTATGAATCTGCGAAGTAACAATATAAGTACGCGACTCTTTCAGGACTGTTGTTTAAGTTGTGTTACAGTTGCCATGATGGGCTTGTTTAAGATGGTACGTCTTAACATGCTATATATTACTTCACGACGGAGTCCACTTGTTGTGGTACCACACAGGTGACATGTTGTAGGCCATCATATCATCATACTTAAATCTCCTAGCTAGAAACTTGAAATGAGACACCAAGGGAGGTAACAACAGAGGAAATGTATAGGATAGAGTAAAGAACATGGAGTTTGGTATATGATTTTTAGTGTTTACGGCGCTTAGAAAATTAGCAAAGCTAAAACACCACTGATACTGCAAGAGTCCTACATGTTCAGATGTTGATCACATTTCATTACAGTTAATTAAAGTACACAGTATCAACATGTTTGTCTATGTAATTGCGTTAGCATCAGGCGTCTATTATGATGCCCGCCTTACCTGGACTCTGTACAGTGCTGGATTCTGGGACGGTTGTTGACTGTTCTGGATCTGAGGAGAGATATGGAGATATCATGTATGATTATTATTAACAAGGAAGAAATCAACGCTATTTTGAAAAAAAAAATCAAAAAGATTCAATGAAAGACACACTTTGAAATTAATACATAAACACACGCGTACTTACGAGAAATGCATAAGGATCCATTCCACGTACTCTCACGTGGGCAACGGCACGTGTAATTTCCGTTAGTATTAAAACAGATGCCCGGCTCATTATCACAGAGGCTGGCGTTTTCATAGCATTCATCTATGTCTGGGAAAAAATACCAAAATATCAATATCCAACACCAGGATACAAAGCGTGCCGATGGCATGAAAACGGTGTATACGTGCAGTCTGCAGTCTGTGATAGAATGACGCTTATAATGAACAGTAAAACACCCATACCAGGGGTCACGACGACAACTCAAAATATAGACATAGGTGATTTAAAGAATTAATTTGGGGCCTCCTGATTAGCCAGTTATACATTCGATTGAAAATATAATAAACGTTCCTTCCCGGAATTTGGTTAAAGTTCTTTTTCAGTTCTATATTTTGACGTATGTTACGTGGTAGAAATGAGTCGCATAATACATATGGGACGATCATATGACTACACTCGTCCGTTTTAGCCAGAGCCTCATTCTGGAAGACACTGTCGTCGGTGGGAAATGACTTGGTTCTGCTATTGTTTTACAAAGGTATGAAGCTTTGTAGTAAGTGAATTTTTCTACGTGATTGTTTTCATTTATAACAATGAGGAAAATGTTATTTCACTGATAAATGAGACAGAATACAATCTTTGTTTAGATTTTATTCAGATCAATTCTCGTAAATTCCTAGTACCAATACGTACCGAAACAGCCGATCCCTATCCTTCTATATCCAGAGGGACACTCGCTGCATTTGTATGGGTGTTTCTGTTTCTGTTGCTCCGCTGGGATCAGGTCGGTGCAGTTCGCACCCCAGCTGCTACATGGAGCTCCCTGGCAGCCGTCAAAATCGAGTTCACAATGAGATCCTAATAACAGACCAAACAGATTTAGCACTTTGTTTCCTATACATCTATATTATATTACGATGGTTGTTTTATTTTGATTTATATCTTGTTTGAATGGGCGATGTATTATGATAGCTGCAGTGCTTGAATTTATGTGGTTGCAAATCACAAATGTAAAACAAAAAACACTTAAACTGACCTGTCCATCCAATGTCACAGTCACACGAAGCCAGGCGGAAGTTGTCTGATGGGTGAGATTGGCTGAGAAGTCTGTCAAACCTACAGGCGCCGTGCCCACTACAGTCACAAATCTGTATCTCGTACTCCACAGTCTCAGACGCTAGTCCAAGTTTGATGTCTTCTACAGCAAAGCTGGAATAGTACAAGATAATAATGTTTATGTTGATGTCATTCAGGTAAGATTGTAGGTTTTTATTATGTTGTCTTTGTTTCCCCCCGTAAAGACCGGGTATGGATACTTGGTCGATGGACATGATCATTTATTGTGTTTGTGAAGTTGTACTCGCTCTAGAGGTGATTGTTTTTGTGAAGTTGTTCTTGCTCTATTGGTGATTGTGTTTGTGAAGTTGTTCTTGCTCTATTGGTGATCGTTTTTGTGAAGTTGTTCTTGCTCTATTGGTGATTGTTTTCTTGCAGCACTGCTGACGGCAATCTAATTAAAATCATATCTCTCATTACACTACGTTATGTAATGAGAGATCTGATTTTAATTAGATTGTGCTGACGGTTAATTTAATTTTTGTAATGTTTAGTTAGCACTGCCTGGTGAAGTATGTTTTGTTGCATAAAGTTGTGTTTGCTATGTTCGTGGAGTCTAACTAGTGTTGTTCGTGGAGTCTAACTGTGTTGTTCGTGGAGTCTAACTAGTGTTGTTCGTGGAGTCTAACTAGTGTTGTTCGTGGAGTCTAACTAGTGTTGTTCGTGGAGTCTAACTAGTGTTGTGTGTGTTGTGTCTCCTCCATGGCAACACTGTCAAGCTGTTACCTGTTATCTTTGTAAACTGATGACTTACGCGAGATAATCAGCACTTTTTCTATTAGTGAAACAAGTGTATGTATGTGCCTGATTTACTGATCGAATGTGTCGATTTTAGACATGTTTGAAAAAAATATTATAATGTGCCAAATGTGAAACCAGTGTGTTTTACATTAATTTGCCAAATATCTTTTAATATTTACGTGAAATTGTCTATGATAGAGGAATTTAGATACTTGTCACAATAATGTCTGATCATTTCGCTGTGTCTTTTTGTATACAGACTTAAACCTTAAGCATTTAGTTTATTTTTTGGAGTCTCATGTTGTGTAAGAGTCTCCCATTTTTGTCTGGTCCAATATGAACTTACTATTCCTGGGCTTTTACTGGACTAACAAACAAATATATCATGTAATATTTCTTTGATTATATGTGTTTTGTTCATGAAATGTAAATTGAACAAGAGGCCCAATGGGCCTGCATCGCTCACCTGGTATAAAACTCACACTTGTAACCTTAAAAGTGATCTAAAATAAAGCTACAGGCAAAATATCAGTATTTATGATTAAAATTCGTTCAAAAGACCCGTTATTTTTTTTTTTAAACATTTCACCCCTGTAATTGAAAGTTGAACAAAGTCATTATGTTGAACACATTGTATAGGCTTTCATCTCAGGATGCAACTTGCAAAGTATAAACATCCTGGGACCCATGGTTATTCATAAGAGGTTGTTTAAAGATTTTAAACAAATTTGACCCCTGTGACCTTGAATATAAGTCAAAGTCATTCACTTTAACA